TGTTTCCCCGCCCGTTCCGGACCCGGCACAGCCCGCTCGTCTATTCGCCACCCGCTCCCGACCCGTTTGGCCATGGGGCCGTCACGCGAGACCTCTGCCCGCCCGACGGTCACTGTTTCCCCGCCCGTTCCGGACCCGGCACAGCCCGCTCGTCTATTCGCCACCGGCTCCCAACCCGTCTGGCCATGGGGCCGTCACGCGAGACCTCCGCCCACCCGACACTCGCTGTTTCCCCGCCCGTTCCCGACCCGGCTCAGCCCGCTCGTCGATTCGCCACCCGCTCCCGACCCGTTTGGCCGCGGCGCCGTTCCGCCGCCTGCTCCTAGCATGGGCCCTGGGTCCGTCTCGACTTTTCCCAGGAGTAAGAATAGTCAGTAGAGAGGACCAGCGAGTCGTATTCAGAGAAGATCCTCGGGAGATAGGGAGTGTGCATGCATAGTGAGTGTGAGTAGACCAGGGCCATAGTCAGATAGAGAGAGAAGCGAGACGAGGAAAGGAAGAGAGAGAAGAGAGCTATGGTGTGACTTACCTGTGGAGCACCATTCTGGTGAAAGGCTGCTGGCGCTGTTGAGCGCTAGGACGGGAACACTTGCTGGATGAAGAAGACTTATAATTCTGTTGGGCGCTATAAATTTTGAAGTTTGAACTCATGATTCTCTTTCTTTGATCTGGTTGGGTGGGGGGTAACTGGTCGCTCGTTTCCACCATACTTGCAAGCGGCACTTCCTGGTTTCCACCATACTTGCAAGCGGACGGACCGGCCGAGCGTCCGGTCCGGTCCGCTTTGCCGCGTGCGGCACCCTCCGCCCGGACCGGACGGACCCGGACCAGACCGGACGGGGCCTTTTTTTTGGGGGGGGTGGGGGGTGGGGGGTAACTGGTCGCCGGGCGCACATTTGTGCGCCGCGCGGGTCCCGTCCGGTGGTCCGCCACATGTGCGGAACCGCGCAGACGGCGTCCGCTTGCAAGTATGGTCCGCCACACGCGCGGGTCCCGTCCGGTGAACTTCGTGCGAGTCATTGCAATCCGTGCGATCTGTGTTAAATGCATGCTATCTGGTACACTCCAGCAAGTGACAAAAGGACAGGTTCCTTGCAAATTGAATAAGGTAATCATTGTAATGAATATTCTTGACGCCGTGCCGGTTTTTGTTTTGGTTCAAGGTTGCGGTGTGATTGTTAGCAGAGTTTGCATGAATGTGCACTTTTGCCATGCACTTTTGTAGTTTTTTTTTTTCGTTTTCGTTTTTTTGGGGGGGTGTCCAGTGTCCGCTTTATGAATTGGTGGCAAGTTTGGTTAAAATGACCCTTGGGGTTTTGTTACAAAGGCGTGACAAATGGTCTGTAAATTTGGGCCTCCGTTAACCTGCTCTCAATCTTCTCTGCTGTATCGTTCCAATTTTAACAGATGTCCTTATCCCTGTCCTTATCCGATTCCTTATCCAGGTCAAAGTTTTTTTAATCTATTTTCTTATCCAATTTCGTATCTATTTTCTTATCCACTTTCTTATCCATTTTCTTATCCATTTTCTTATCCAGATCACCCAAAGCACTGCCTTTCTGACGAGATATTAATCATTATGAATTTATGAATCTTTATGATATGATTATGTACAGTTGTTTCGTTGGTTTGGGCGATACGTAGGAGAGAATCTATAGGCTTTTCAGGATGTGGAATGGAGCTGAACTATGGAGATGAAGAGTGAGTGTGAGTAGTGTTCCGTGGCTTTTCTCGAACACCACTCAGCTTGGGAGAGGTTTAGAAGAGCAAGCAATTTGTTTTTATGTCCTCTGTTATTAGGTTCCTTGTTACACATGCTGCAAATGGCAGTACTCATTTTTCGGGTCTGAGGGTGTGCTCACAGTAGCACTTTCCGAAATGTATCTGACTGCAATTACGCCCATATACCTGGATGCATCTGACTGCAATCACGTCCAGAGGTTACTTGAAGAAGTTCTACTGTGAGAGTATGCCCTGAATGTTGCCTTCTTTTTTTTGTGATACTAGAGGACTGATTGACTCTGGGAGTGCCGAAATTCTAGATTTGGAAACTTTTTTTTTTTTTTGGGGGGGGGGAAACTGTTTCTTGATTTCTGCGTGTCATCCCTGCGCAGGGGCCATGCTAATCTTCTCTGTATCGTTGCAATTTTAGCAGATGTCCTGAAGGACAGATTTGGAAGTTTCTAATCTAATTATATTATTATATGCTGTGCTACGCCGCCCGGCCAGGCATATGCCCTGGCCGGTTGGGCAGAGGGGGGGTCACCCGGCAAAACCAGACGGGTCAAAAAAGAGGCAAGGATCCCCCCCCAAAAAAAGGCCACTTCAGGCCAGGACTGCACTTGGCCTAAGCAGTCAGAATCCGGTTTTAACTTCGGTTTTGATGATGGTTCGTCCAGGGGTTGTTGGGGGGTATAAACAGTGACTAAGGGGTTGAAAAGGGTACGCATTTCGACTCATGTTTTCTCATTTATTTTTTATCTTAAACAAGGAATTTCGAGGTGGTCCTCAGCCAAAGTTGTTTGTATCGCCATTTTACCCAACACGTCTTTTTTTTTTTTCGGATTTTGTTTGAATTTTTTTTTTTTTT